ACAACTAAGCCGGGGACAGGGTGGAGGGGGGGTGGGGTGGGGGGTGCCAATGGGGTAAAAAGGTAAAATATCTGTAACAAAAAAATAAATAAATAAACAGAAAAAAAAAAAGAAAAAAAATATATATATATAATGGAGGAACCTAATTATCAGTTAAAAAAAAATAATAATAATAATCACCTTATATGTAAATGGACTGAATGCTCCAATATAAAGACACAGAGTAGCTGATTGGGTAAGAAAGCATGACTCATCTATATGTTGTTTACAAGAGACCCAACTTATAACAAAAGACTCACATAGGTTGAAAGTCAAGGAATGGGAAAAAATCTTCCTAGAAAACAGAAAGCAAAAAAAGCTGGGGTAGTAATACTCATATCTGATAAAATAGATTTCAAAATGAATGCCATAACTAGAGACAAAGAAGGCCACTAGATAATACTGAAAGGATCTATACAACAGAAAGATATAACCTTGATAAACAATATAGGAGGACCAAAATATATTAAAAAAATTTCTAAAGGACTACAAAGAAGAAAGCAACAGGAATACAATTATAGCAGGGGACTTCAACACCCCATTGACACCACTGGATAGATCCTTCAGACAAAAACTTAGCAAGGAAACACAGACTCTAAATGAAGCACTAGACCAAATGGATTTAATAGATATCTACAGAGAATTACACCCCAAAACTGCAGAATACATATTCTTCTCAAGTGCACATGGGACATTCTCAAAGATAGACCACATGTTAGGACACAAACTAAATCTCTACAAGTTTAAGAAGATTGAAATCATATGAAGCATCTTCTCAGGTCACAATAACATGAAACAAGCAATTGGAACAAAAACATGCAAAGACATTTGAACACATGGAGGCTAAAAAGCATGATATTAAACAATAAATTGGTTACCATGGAGATCAAAAAAAAAATTAAAAACTTCCAGGAAACCAATGAAAATGAACACACAAAAACACAAAATCTATGGGATGCAGCAAAAGCAGTTCTGAGAGGGAAGTTCATAGCATTACAGGCCTACCTCAAGAAACAAGAAAAATCTCTAATAGACTATCTAACCTCACAACTTAAAGAATTAGAAAGCAAATAAACAAACAAACAAACAAAAACCCAGAGCAAGTAGAAGGAAGAAAATAGTAAAGATCAGAGCAGAAATAAATGACAGAGAGACCAAAAAAACGACTCAAAGGATCAATGAAACAAAGAGCTGGTTTTTCAAAAAGATAAACAAGATTGATGGACCCTTATCTACACTCACCAAGAAACAAAGAGAGAGAACCCAAATACACAAAATCAGAAATAAAAGTGGAGAAGTAACAACCGACACCACAGAAATACAAAAGATTGTTAACAGCTACTATGAACAATTATATGGCAACAAATTCGACAATCTAAGCGAAATGAACAAAATTCTAGAAACACACACAGTCTCCCAAAACTGGACTGTGAAGAGATAGGAAACTTGAACAGACCAATAACAAATAAGGAAATTGAAGAGGTAATGAAGACTCTTCCAGCAAACAAAAGGCCAGGCCCAGATCGCTTCACGGGGGAGTTTTACTGAACATTCAAAAAAAAACTAACACCCATTCTACTCAAACTATTTCAAAAAATTCAAAAAGAAGGAAGACTTCCAAACTTGTTTTATGAGGACAGCATAATTCTAATTTCAAACCCAGAAAAAGAAACTACAAAGAAAGAAAACTACAGGCCAATATCCCTGATGAACATAGACGCCAAAATCTTGAACAAAATACTAGCAAATCGAATCCAGCAATACATCAAATAAATTATTGACCAAGAAATTACCATGACCAAGTGGGATTCATCCCAGGAATGCAAGACTGGTACAATATTTGCAAATCAATAAATGTGATACACCACATAAGCAAAATGCCAAATAAAAACCACATGATCATATAAATAGATGCTGAAAAGGCATTTGACAAAATCCAGTATCCATTTCTGATCAAAATGCTCAGCAATGCGGGAATAGAGGGATCATATCTCGACATAATAAAGGCCATACATGAAAGATCTACAGCCAACATCATACTCAATGGGCAGAAATAAAAAGCATTTCCCTTAAGAACAGGAACAAGACAAGGATGCCCACTTTTGCCACTCTTATATAACATAGTACTGGAAGTCTTAGCCACAGAATCAGACAGGAAGAAAAAATAAAAAAGATAAAAACTGGAAAGGAGGAAGTGAAACTGTCATTATTTGCAGATGACATAATATTATACATAGAAAACCGTAAAGACTCCATCAAAAATCTACTAGACGTAATAAATAAATTTGGCAAAGTAACAGGATACAAAATTAAATCAAGAAATCAATGTCATTCTTATACACCAATGATGAACTCAGAGAAACTGAAAAAAAAATCCCATTTACCATCATGACAAAAAAATTAAGAAACTTAGGAATAAACTTAACCAAAGAAATAAAGGACCTATTTGCAGAAAACTGCAGGACATTGAAAAAAGAAGTAGAGGAAGACATAAAAAAAAGTGGAAGCACATACCTTGTTCATGGATTGGAAGAATTAACATCATTAAAATGTCCATACTACCCAAAGCAATCTATAGATTCAATGCAATCCCTATCAAAATACCAATGACATACTTCACAGAACTAGAACAAATACTTCAAAAGTGCATATGAAACCAAAAAAGTTCATATGAAACCCAAATAGCCACAACAATCTTGAAAAAGAAGGACAAAGCAGGTAGAATCACAATACCAGATATCAGGTTATGCTACAAAGCTACTGTAATCAAAACAGCCTGGTACTGGCACAAGAACAGGCATATAGACCAGTGGAACAGAACTGAGAACTCAGAAATGGACCCAACACATTATGCTCAATTAATATTTGACAAAGGAGGCAAGAGCATACAGCGGAGTAAAGACAGCCTCTTTAATAAATGGTGTTGGGAAAATTAGACAGCTACATGCAAAAAAAAAATGAAACTAAACTATCAACTTACACCATACTCAAAAATAAACTCAAAATGTATAAAAGACTTAAATGTCACTCATGAATCCATAAAAATCCTAGAAGAAAATGTAGGGAACAAACTTTCGGACATCATACGCAGCAGAATTCTCACTGATACATCACCTAAGGCAACAGAAACAAAGGAGAAAATGAACACATGGGACTACATCAAACTCAAAAGCTTCTGCACAGCAAAAGAAACAACCACCAAATTGGAAAGGCAACCCACTGTATGGTAGAACATCATTGCCAATGATACATCAGATAAGGGGTTAATTTCCAAAATATATAGAGTACACATACAACTCAACAAAAGGAAGACAAAGAGCCCAATTAAACAATGGGCAGAGGAGCTGAACAGACACCTCCCCAAACAGGACATACACATGGCCAAGAGACATATGTAGAAATGCTCCACTTCACTAATCATCAGAGAGATGCAAATTAAAACAACAATTAGTTATCACCTCACACCTATCAGAATGGCTGCCATCAACAAAACATCAAACCAGTGTTGGCACCCCGGCCAGTTTGGCTTAGCAGTTGTAGTATCAGCCTGTGGACCAGAGGGTCCCGGGTTCGGTTCCTGCTAAGGGCACGTACCAAAAAAAAAAAAAAAAGGGTATAAATAAAACAAATGTTGGCAAGGTTGTGGAGAAAAGGGGACTGCTGGTGGGAATGCAGACTGGTGAAGCCACTATGGAAAACACTATGGTGTTACCTCAAAAAATTAAAAATTGAATTGCCATTTGACTCAGTGATCCCAGTTATAGGTATATACCCTGAGAAGCCTGAAACGCCAATCAGAAAGAATATATGTACCCCCATGTTCATAGCAGCACTATTACAATAGCTAAGATCTGAAAACAGCCCAAGCGTCCATCAGTAGACAAGTGGATAAAAAAGTAGTGGTACATATACACAATGGAGTACTATGTAGCTGTAAGAAAGAAAGATCTCCTATCCTTTGAGATGACATGGAGGGACCTGGAAAGTATTATCCTAAGCAAAACAAGCCAAGCAGGGAAAGACAAATACCACATGATCTCACTTATTTGTGGAATATTATGAACATAACAGTCTGAGGAATAGGGTAGACCCAGAGATGTGGAAGTAGGGTACAGACTGACAACCCTCAGAAGAGGGGGTGGTGGGGGGAGAAAAGAGATAAACTACAGAATTTATGTTTATGTATGCATAACCAATGGACATGGACCACAAAGCCAGGGACTTGGTAGGGGGCATCGGGAGGAGGGTGTCAATGGGGTAAAAAAGGAGGAACATCTGTAACAAAAATAAAATAAAATAAAGAAAAGAAATTAAAAAATAAAAAAGAATTACAAATTGGTTGTTAGACTGATGAACCTCAAAGGGAAAAGGGGAGAAAGGGCAGAATGAGATAAACCAAAGAACTTCTATGCATACAGTCATCCCTCACCTCTTTGTGCTTTGACTTTTGTCGCTTCACTCTATTGCAGTTTTTTCAAATATATTCATTAAGTTGATCAAGACAGTGAAAATGATACAGCACATGCTCTGTTGTCTGAGTCAATTATACACCCATGTATTACAATTAAAATTAAAATTACTGTATGCATGGACTGTAGGCCTATGTATTCGAGCACCCCCACAAATTCTTCAATGCCAGGTGCAACCGCTTGACCACTCCTTGTGTGTGGCCAATAACTTTTTTCCAAAAAATAAGATGTGGTAAAACCAAGCCAATCAGAGTATGCTGTTCACTGATTGGCTATCCTATTCTCTTCCTAACCTGGCCACTGATTGGCTAAGCCTCACGCAACTTTGTTTCTCTCATATAGCTTCTACATTGCTATGCATCGGAAGCATCTTTGCTCTTTAAGTGTTTGCAATTTCTGAGAACTTTTATCTAAGCCCATGATGTCTCCTAAATGTGCTGCTTCTTCTAAGCATTCTGATGATTAAACTGAGAGCCGGAGGAAGATGCTTACCATCCAGGAGAAGGTGAAACTCTTGCATATGATCAAAGACAGCAAGAAAATTGTGGAGATTGCCCGCTGTTATGACTTGAATGAGTCTACCATTCGCTCCATCTGTAAAGATAAAAAAAAAATCCATGCAACGGCTACTGTCTCTTTCAACAAGGAAGCAAAGCATATTACGACAAGTCGTAAAAAGTTCATAGTGAAAACGGAGTCTGCCCTAGCCATTTGGATCAGTGACAGCTGCAAGAAAAACATTCCGTTGGATCCGCTGGTCATCCAGGAGAAAGCGAGGCAGCTCTATCAGCACTTAATGGCAGATGAACCTCAACTAGGACCCTCTTCTGCAATGTTCATGGATTTCATCGTGAGCAAGGATTGGTTTGAGAAGTTCCAGAAAAGGTATCATCTGAAAAGTGTCATTCTCCACAGAGAAGCTGCCTCTGTGGACCAGCCTGCAGCAGAGGACTATGTGAACAACGCGTTCCAGAAAATCCTTGAGAAGAATGAGTATCACCGTCTCCTAGGAGGTAAGCATCTTCCTCCGGCACTCAGTTTCATCATCAGAAGGCTTAGAAGGAACAGCACGTTTAGGAGCCATCCAGAAGAGGTGTTCAATATGGACAAAAGAAAACTGTTCTGGAAAAGAATGCCTTCCTGAACATTCATGTTCAAGGATGAGGCCAAGTTCCGTGGCTTCAAGGCATATAAGGATCACATGACTATTGTTATGTGATGCTGAGAGATTTTTGCTCAAGCCTGCCCTTATCTACAAGGCCAAGAACCCTAGGGCCCTGAATAATAAAAACAAGAACTTGCTGCCAGTGCACTAGATGCACAATGACAAGGGCTTGATCATGAAACAGCTGTCATCAGACTGGTTCCACGAGTGTTTCATCCCCCAAGTCAAGCTGTATCTTGCGGAAAAGGGACTCAAGTTTAATGTACTTCTCCTCATGGACAATGCTGGAGGTCATGCACAAGACCTATCCTATTCTGGTCAAGATGGCAGCATAGGTTAATGCAGTATTGTGTCCTCCCACAACCATATCAAAGTTACAACTACTGAACAACCATCATTCAAAACCACCTGATATTGCACTGAATGGAAGTCCTATAACTACGAAATTAAAGAAGCAGCCACATTGAGACTGGTAGGAGGGGCAGAGGTGGGTGGGCTGATCCCACACCCACATGTGACAGATAAAAATCAGGAGTGTACCTCAGCTGGGAAGGTCATCCCTGAGGACTGAGGGGTCCCTCACCCACACCAGGCTCCCCATTCAAGGTTCCAGTGCCAAGAAGAGAAGTCCCCATAACTTATGGCTGGAAAAATCAGCAGGAACTGAGGCTCAGGGAGACTGAGGCAGCTGGAGCCTCAGGCAGCTCCTCTTAAAGGGCCTGCGGACGGACTTATTGGACTCACTCCCTCTAAGGTTGGAGGGGAGGCAGCTTGAGGGGCACCAGAGACATACAGGGAAGAACTGAGCTGTTTGGCACTGGAGCGAGGGCTGCAGAGGGGGCTTTCTCCCAGACAAACGTGCTGTCAGAGGCCTTTGTTCCTTTAATGAGCCCTTCCCTGGGGCGGCAGACAGCCGCCATATCTGGGACCCCAGCAACCTGGCTCACACTGGTTGCCCCACCCTGGTGATTCCCTGAGGCCCCGCCTCACCCAACTTTCAGGCCCACCCAAGCTGTTGCCAGTTGCTTTACCATAGTATTGGTCTGTCTTGGATCCTGCTTCAGGTTTTTCCTAAATTCTTTCAAACAAGCAGCATCTGGTCTCAGCTAGCCCCATACCACTCATTGAGTAATACATAGAAACAAATACAGGAAGGCGGCCAAAATGAGGAGACAAAGAAACAGGTCCCAAATGAAAGAACAGAACAAAACCCCAGGAAAAGAACTAAGTGAAATGGAGATAAGCAACCTAGCAGATGCTGAGTTCAAAATACTGCTTATAAGGATGCTCAATGAACTTAGTGGTTCTCAGTGAACTCAGTGAGGGCCTCAAGAGCATAAAAAAGGACCAGTCAGAAATGAAGGAGGCACTAACAGAAATAAAGAATAATTTACACACATTCAATAGTAGAGCAGGTAAAGCCAAGAAGCAAACCATCGATTTGGAACATAAGAAAGCAAAAAACACTCAATCAGAACAGCAAAAAGAAAAAAGAATCCAAAAATGAGGAGAGTGTAAGGAGCCTCTGGGACAACTTCAAGCGTGCCAACATTCGCATCCTGGGGGTGCCAGAAGGAGAAGAGAGAGAACAAGAAATCAAAAACCTATTTGAAACAATAATGCCAGAAAACTTCCCTAATTGGTAAAGGAAATAGACATACAAGTCCAGGAAGCACAGAGAGTCCCAAACAAGATGAACCCCAAGAGACCCACACCAAGACACATCATCATCAAAATGCAAAAGGTTCAAGACAAAGAGAGAATCTTAAAAGCAGCAAGAAAAAAGCAGTTAGTTACCTATAAGGGAGTTCCCATTAGGCTGTCAGCTGATTTCTCAAAAGAAACTTTGCAGGCCAGAAGAGACTGGCAAGAAATATTCAGAGTGATGAAAAGCAAGAACCTACAACCAAGATTACTCTATCCTGCAAAGCTGTCATTTAGAATCAATGGTCATATAAAGAGTTTCCCAGACAAGAAAAAATTAAAAGAGTTCATCACCACCAAACCGTTATTATATGAAATGTTGAAGGGTCTTTTTGAAGAAAAAGATAAAATATATGAACAAAATGGCAATGAATACATATCTATCGACAGTTGAATCTACAAACAAAATGAACAGGAAGAACAAAAACATTCTCATAGTACAGAGAATATTTTGTTGGTTGCCAGATGGGAGGGGGGTTGGGGGAATGGGTAAAAAAAGTGAAGGGATTAAGAAGTACAAATTGATTGCTAGACTGACAAACCTCAAAAGAAAGGGCGTTGGGGGGTGAGAAGAAATAAACCAAAAAATGTAAAAGTAACCAATGGTCACAGACAACAGTGTGGGGAAAGGCAGGAGGGGGATGGGAGTGGGGAGGAGGGGGTCAATGGGGGAAAAATTAGGAGCATCTGTAATACATTCAACAATAAAGATAAAAAAAAAAAATAGACCTATCCTATGACGGTGTGCAGATCGAGTTCCTTCCTCCCAACACCACTTCACTGATCCAGCCCATGGATCAAGGCGTTATTCACGCCTTCAAGGCCCTCTACATGCGAAACACCCTGCAGCACCTCGTCGAAGGCACGGACCTTGAGGAGAACTTCTTGCTGAAGGAGTACTGCTGGCAGTATACCATCGTGACCTGTCTGAATAACATCCAGGCCAAATTGAAGGACATAAAGATGGAGACCATGAAGGCCAGCTAGAAGATGTTGTGACCTGAAATTGTCCACAATTACAGAGGATTCACCCCAGAGGATATAATGACTCAGCAGTGGATAAGGCAGTTAGGCTGGCCCAGATGCTGGGAAGAGAAAATTTCACAGATATGACCCAAGATGACATGGATGAGCTGCTGGAGACACATTCGGATCCCTTAACTGATGAGGATCTGGTGGAGATGACTAAGTCTGCAAGTGAGGTGGAAGAAGAACAGCCAGAGGTTCCTGGGGATCAGGAGGAGAAAGTTGGACGTACACTTGAGCGTCTCTCACAAGTTGTGAGAACTGTTAAGGTAGTACAGGACATGATTGGCAAATGGGGGCAACAAATGATGTGTGCATTGCAGTTCCAGAATGCACTTGATGGAGCCATAGAACCCTACAAAAGCCTCCACACATATGTCTGAAAAGACAGCGCCAGCAACTGCCAATCATGATGTTCTTCAGCCGCCCACCCAGACACCCACTGCCTATTCCTGGTACTCCTTCAGCGGAAGAAGATGATGATGCACATGCTGAAGATACTGCACCACCTGAAGACTCTCCTATTCAGGTTATGCCTTCAGAGGAGCAGTAACTTTGCTCTTCTTTGCTGTGCTACTGCATTTTCATTACTTCATCTTCATCTACTGCATCTTCCTCTCTTCATCTTCATCGCTTCATCATCCAACAAGTTGCACTATTTTCTTAGGATAGTGATTGTGTGTAAGAACTGTGTATGTGTGTAATTAAATGTACAATAATAATATATTTGTCACATCTAATATGTCTTATTTTCTCTTATTTTGCCTAATATATTGGGTAATAAGAGTGTAATAGTGACTAAAGGGTGTTATTTCATGTCTAGAGAGCTCTAATAATGTTTTTAAATAAGTATTTAGAAGGTCATAAACAGGTTTTCTATGCTCTAACTGAAAATATTCAATTTATAAATAAAGAATCCTACTTCGTGGAAATTCATTTATCGCGGTAGAGTCTAGAACTGATTAACAGCGATAAACCAGGGCCGACTGTATATGCATAGCCAATGGACACCAACAATAGTGTGGGGAAGGCAAGTAGGGGGTGGGATTGGGGATGAGGGGGTCAACAGAGAAAAAAGGGGGGACATCTATAATACATTCAACAATAAAGATGAGTTTAAAAAATAAATATAAATAAATAAATAAAACAAAAGTCAGGTCATGTCACTCTCCTGCCCCTCCCCCAGCTTGAAATCTTCTGATCTGGAGCCATGCTTCTCATCTCACTCAAAATATATCCCAAACTCCTACCTAACGGCTGCTGACTGCCTCTCTGACCGCTTCTCCCTCATTTACTCTGTAACAACTACCACTGACCTTGCTATTTCCAGAACATTCCGAGCCCACTCCTACCTCAAGCCCTTTCCCTTTGCAGTTCCTTCTGCCTGATGTGCTCTTCCCCCAGATAGTCACATGGTTCCAGGCTCACTTCTTTCAGGTCTCTCATCAAATATCATTTTATTAAGAATGCTTTCTGCCCTGGCGGTTTGGCTCAGCGGTTAGAGCATTGGCCTGCAGTTTGTCCCCGGCCCTGGCTGGGTTGTGCGGGAGGCAGCCACTCAGTGTGTCCCTTTCATGTCAATGTTTCTCTCTCTCTCTCTTCCTCTCTCTCCTTCCCACTCTATCTGAACAAAAAATAGAAAAATATCCTCGGGTGAGGATAAAAAAAGTATGCCTTCCTATCTTTTCCATAGAAGGGTTTTAAAAATAGCCTGGCTGGCCCTGGCTGGTTTGGCTCAGTGGTTAGAGCGTCGACCTGCGGTCCTGAGAGACCCGGGTTCGGTTCCCGCTAAGGGCGCGTACCTCGGTTGCAGTTTGTCCCCGACCCTGGTTGGTCGTGCGGGTGGCAGCCACTTGATGTGTCCCTTTCACATCAATGTTTCTCTCTCTCTATCTCTTCCTCTTTCTCCCTCCCACTCTATCTGTACAAAAAATGGAAAAATGTCCTCAGGTGAGGATAAAAAAAAAAAATAGCCTGGCTGGTGTGGTTCAGTAGATGGAGTGTCATCACATGGACTGAGATGTCCCGGTTCTATTCCAGGTCAGGGCACATGCCCAGGTTGCAGGCTCCATCACCCATAGGGGGCAGGCAGGAGGCAGCTGATTGATGTGTCTATCTCTCTCCCTTTGTCTCTCTATAAAAAAATCAATAAAAACATATTTTTAAAAAAATAGGGTATATGCCCCCAGATACACAAAATTTTTCCAAGAAATACCTAGGCATTCATATAGTGTTAAGGGGGAAACTTTTCAAAGCCTCAAGTTCTACCTGCATTCTTTTCTAAATTTGTTCAACTTGAGTATGACTAGGGTCAAGTGTCTTACAAGTTCCCTCTTCTCGCCTCTCCTTTCAAAACAGATCCTTCTTCTAATTAACAAGATAAATATTTACCTCTCCCTCATCCCAAGTCTTATAATGATGGAATGTCCATGCAAAACTTCTAGGTTTTCAGTCAAATGTTTATTTGAAATGTTGAGGTTTTGTTTGAGAAAGTATATAATGCCCGGTCGGTGTGGCTCACTGAGCATTGACTCATGCACCAAGAGGTCGCTGGTTTTATTCCCTATCAGGGCACATGCCCAGGTTGTGGGCCCAAACCCTAGTGAGGGCATACAGGAGGCAGCCAATCGATGTTCTCTCTCAATGATGTTTTTATCTCTCTCTCCCTCTCTCTCTAAAATCAATAAAGAAAAATTTTTTTTTTTTTAAAAAAGAAAGTACATAACACTAGTGACTAAATAAAAAATTTCTTTGTCGTTCAAGTAGTTTTAATTCATTACTTTTATCAAAATGAAAGGAGTACCTAATAGGGTTATTCACTAGCTATCTAAAAATAATTTTTGATGAAAGATCACCAAGTGATTTTTGGCATTTAACTCAGAAGGAGTTCAGAGAATTGAGTGACATTACTCTAACAGAACCTTCCCACTTCTATCTATTTATGTATGCAGCCAAGATTTCTTGGCACTTGCATCTATAAAAATAAAAATAGTAAAAGAATTAATGTTTGACCTTATATATTCAGGCATTAAGTCATATTCAGCCATGGGTATCTGAACTAAATCTATTTAAAAATAAGATGTATTGCCCTGGCCAGTTTGGCTCAGCGGTTAGAGCGTCGGCCTGCAGTCTGGAGAGACCTGGGTTCGGTTCCCGCTAAGGGCACGTACTTCGGTTGCAGTTTGTCCCCGGCCCTGGTTGGTCGTGCGGGTGGCAGCCACTCGATGTGTCCCTTTCACATCGATGTTTCTCTCTCTCTCCCTTCCTCTCTCTCCCTCCCACTCTATCTGTACAAAAAAAAAAAAAATGGAAAAATATCCTCGGGTGAGGATAAAAAAAAAAAAAAAAAGATGTATTTATAATAAAAATTTTGTTTTTTATGTTATAAAAAAAGTATGATGGTTTTCAGGCATAAAAAATACGTCACAATAAGATAAATTCTAAACTGGAAATGCAAGTACAGGAGAAAAAGAAATAGTATAATATTTCCCACAGTTATAGATAAGTTTATTTATAGTTTTAAAATGGATGAATTGATGATGGTAAATATCAAATTAATATGGTAATTTGATTTTATTAGACATAGTTTTAAAAGTAATATAACTAAATTTTTAATAAAAGCAAAACTTTTCACAATATGCAGAAGTTACATCTTTTATAACTACTAATGCTAATATTTAAAAGCCCATTTAAAAATGGTAAGAATCAAAGGTCAAGATGATGGTACAGGTAAACGCGGTATCGCGTCTTCCCACAACCACATCAAAGTTACAACTAAACTACAGAACAATCATCATTCAAAACTGCCTGAAATCGCGCTGAATGAAAGTCCTACAACTACGGAAGTGAAGCAGCAGCCACATCCAGACTGGTAGGAGAGGCGGAGGTGGAGGGGCTGGTCCCACACCCACGTGTGGCAAATAAAAATCAGGAGGACACCTGGCTAAGAAATAAACCAAAGAACTTATGTGCATAACCAATGGACACAGACAACAATATCGGCAAAGGCAGGAGGGGGGCAGGAGTGGGGAAAAGGGTGTCAATGGGGGAAAAATGAGGAACATCTGTACTACATTCAACAATAAAGATAAAAAAATTAAAAAAAAAATAACGCTACTGAAATGAAGACAGCACAATATTGGCCAAAAAAATATACATCAATGGAACCTAATAGAGAGCTCAGAAATAGATCAACACAAATAAAATAAACTGATCTTTGACAAATGAGCAAAGGTAATTCAATGGGAAAAGGACATTCTTTTCAATAAGTGATGCTAGAAAAATTAGACATTCATACAAAAACACAGACCTAGACCTTATATCTTTCACAAAATTAAATTATAGGCAGAATGTAAAATGCAATAGTCAAAAACTGCTAGAAGATAACACAGGAGAAAATCTAGATGATCTTGGATTTGCCAATGAGTTTTTTTTTTAATTGTTGACTTTATTACAGATGTTCCCCATTTCTCCCCCTTTGCCCACCTCCACCCAGTGCCACCACCCCTACCTTGGCCTTTATCACTTGGAAGTAAGTTTTTAGACACAACACCAAAAGCATGACCTATGGAAAAAAAATGAAAAATTGTACTTTATTTAAGTTTAAAACTTGAGTGAAACACACAGTTGAGAATATTCAAAGAAAAATTACAGACTAGGAGAAAATATTTGCAAAGCATATCTGATAAGAACTTATGTGCCAACAAAATGGTGATAACAAGAGGGAAGGGGGTCAGGGGGGTTGAAGAGGATATAGGGAAGATAAATGATGATGGAAGGAGACTTGACTTTGGGGCTTAAACCTATATAATGTAATTAACCAATGTCACCCCAATACATTCATTAAAAAAATTGAACAATAAGGAAAAACCCAATTTAAAAATGGGCAAAATATTTGACCAGACACCTTACCAAGTGGATATATAGATGGCAAATAAGGAAATGAAAATATGCTCAATAATATTTGTCATTAGGGAATTGCAAGTTAAAATAAGATACTACTACACACTTATCAGAATTGCTAAAATTTCTTTTAAAATCTAAAGTGGTTGCTGATGAGAATATAGAACAACAGTAACTCTCATTCATTGCTGTTAGAAATGCAAAATAGTGCAAACTTTTTGAAAAACAGTCTGCCACTTTCTTACAAAACCAAACATAATTTTAGCCAACAATCCAGAAATCATATCCTTAGATATTTACAAAACTGATCAGAAAACACATCCACACAAAAACGTGCATATGAATATTTATAGTAGTTTTACTCATAATCACAAAAAACTAGAAGCAGTCAGAATGTCTTTCAATGGGTGAATGTATAAACAAACTTTTGTAATTCTATACAATGGAATATTATTCAGTGATAAAAAATAAATGAGCTACCAAACCACAGAAATACATGGGTATTAAATGCATATTGCTATGTAAAAGAAGCCAGCTTAGAAAAGGCAAAACTATAACAATAACAAAAGATCAGTTGTTTGGAGTTCAGGATAAGAGAAGAAAAATTAATAGGTGATGCACAGGGGGGTTTTTTTAGGATGGTGAAACTATTCTGTATGATACAGTAATTCTGGATATATGACTTTGCATTTATCAAGACCCACAGAACTTAAAAACATAATTTAGGAGATTGAGGAACACCAGGATAGAATTCAGGATGTGATAAAACAATCTAACTATTGTGAATGTATGAAATGACCTCACTGAAAGGGGTGTGGAGAAAATGTATTGTCCTAAGTATTATTGGAAATGAGTGGAATCTGTAAAACTAAAGGCAAATAAATTGCATATGAACACTGTAATCTACTTGATAAAGGTACAGGTTAATAATTCTGATACTGCTATACATGTATACTAAAACTGAACAATTAAGTACATGGATGGTGGATGGCGGAAGCCAGGTGTTTCACCTTTATAATGGGAAGTTACAGACAAGCAAGGGGAAGAGACTGTAATAATCTGGGTGGTAATGGATTAGAACTGGAAACATCAGTATCAATGCATGTTTAGCTTAATATGGACACATATGGTTACATATAGAATTGTTTACTGGTATGTGTATATATATTGGTTAGTATACATAGTATATTCCCTTGCTTGGCTGAGGGAAGTGATGACACACCAGAGGCAACAACAAGCACACCCAGTGCCAGATCTTGGTTAAAATGGTAAAATATTCAGCATGTACAATGTGATTTGAGTTATGTTTACACTCTGAAAGTCTCTCTCCCCAGTGAATTAATTAACACACCCATCACCTCACATATTTAATTTACTTTGGGGAGGGTGAAAACATTTAAGTTCTACTCTCTCACCATATTTCAATGATGCAATAGAGTGCTACCAACTATAGGCACATGGTACCCAATCAGTCCTCAGACCTTATTCATCTTATGCCTAAAAGTTTGCACCCTTTTACCAACCTCTCTTTATTTCACACACCCCCAGCCCCTGGAAACCACTTTTCAACTCTGTTTCTATGAGTTCAACTTTTTTTTCTTAAATAGTTTTCACATATAAGTGATATCATGCAGTATTTTTCTTTCTTTGTCTAGCTTATTTCATTTAGCATAATGCCCTTCAGGTTCATCCATATTGTCACAAATGGCAGGATATTTTTTTAAGGATGAATACATTCATTATATATACCTATATATCTATATATCAAATCACATTTTCTTTATCCATTCATCCATCAACAGAAACTTAAGTTGTTTCCATACATTGGCTATTGTGAATAATGCTTCAGTGAACATGGGAGTGAAGATATCGCTTCAAGATAATGATTTCATTTTCTTCGGATATATACCCAGAGTGGAACTGCTGAATCATATATTAGTTCTATTTTTAATTTCTTGAGGAATCTCCATAATGTTTTCTATAGTGGTTGTACCAGTTTACAGTCCCACCAGCAGTGCACAAAGATTCCCTTTTCTCCACATTTTTGCCAATATTTGTTATCTCTCATCTAGATATAGACATCCTAACAGGTGTGAAATAATAACTCATTTAGTCTTCATTTACATTTCCCTGATGACTGGTAACATTAAACACCTTGTCATGTACCTGTTGGTCATGTATAAGTCTTCTTTGGAAAAGTGTCTATTTAGGTCCTTTGCACATTTTTTTTAATCCTCACCCGAGGATAGAGGATATTTTCCCATTTATCTTCAGATAGACTGGGAGGGAGAGACAAAAAAACATCGATGTGACAGAGAAACACATCAATTGGTTGCGTCCCTCACGACCCAAACAGGGCCCGGGGCCGAACGGCAACTGAGGCACGTGCCTTGATTGAAATTGAACCCATGGCTCTTTGGTCCACAGGCTGACATTCGAACCACTGAGCCAAACTGGCCTGGGCTCTTTGCACATTTTTTAATTTGGTTATTTATTTATTTATTTATTTATTTTTGTTATTGAGTTGTATGAGTTCCTTATATATTTTGAATATTAATCTCCTATAGGACATGTAATTTTAAAATATTTTTCCCATTCCATAGGTTGCCTTTTCATTTTGTGCAGCATTTTATTGATGTAGCCCGACTTGTTTATTTTTTCTTTTGTTGCCTTTGCTTTTGGTATCTAAAGCCAAAATAAAAATTTAAAAAAAAAAAACAACAAAACATTGCCAAGATCAATATCAAAGGGTTTAACCTTTCTATTTTGTTAGGTTTTTTAAAAGATTTCTTTTAGAGAAAGAGGAAGCAAGAGGGGAAAAGAGAGAAACATTGACGTGATAGTGAAACATCAGTCACGTGCCTCCTACACGCCCCCCTACCCCCCACCCGCCAAGCGATCAAGCCCACAATCCAGGTATGTGTCCTGACTAAAAATTGAACCAGCAACCCTTCAGTGCGCAGGACGACACCCAACCAACTGAGTCACACCAGCCAGGGCATCTCTACTTTATTCTAGGAGTTCTATGGCTTCAGGTCTTACGTGCAAGTCCTTGATCCATTTTGATTTGACTTTATATGTGGTGTAATCGAGGTCCAATTTCATTCTTTTGCAGCTATCCAGTTTTCCCAACTCTATTTATTGAAGACTTTATCCCTTTCCCATTGTTTTTGTGTTTTTTTTTTTCATATCTTTCTTGTAAATTAATTCATTGTATATGGGCTCTGTATTCCATTCCATTCATGTATGTGTCTCTTTTTATGCCAATACCATACTGTTTTGAATTTTACAGCTTTATAATGTTGTTTGAAATCAGGAATTGTGGCACCTTTGTTTCTCTTTCTTAAGATTGCCTTGGCTGTCCAAGGTCTTTTGTAATTCCACACAAGTTTTGCAATTGTTTTTCTATTTCTGTGAAAAATATCATTGGTATTTTGATAGGAATTGCATTGAATTTGTAGACCACTTTTGGTAGTATGAACATTTTAGCAACTAATTCTTCCTACCCATGAACACAGATTATCTTTCCATTTATTTGTGTTTTCTTCCATTAACGTCTTATAGTTTGCAATTACAGATCTTTTACATCCGTGGTTAAAATTATTCCAAAGTATTTTATTCTTTTTGATGCTATTGTGAGTGTGATTAAAATTATAATAAAGTATTTTATTCTGTTTGATGCTATCATAAATGGAATTGTTTTCTTAATTTCTCTTTCTGATAGTTCACTGTTGATGTGTAGAAGTGCAATTGATTTTTTACACTGATTCTGTGTCCTGCAACTTTACTGAATGTATTAGTTCTAACAGTTTTTTGGTGGAATCATTAGGATTTTCTATATATAATATCATGTCATCTACAAACAGAGACAATTTTACTTCTTCCTTTCCAATTTTAATATCTTTTGTTTTTACCTAATTGTTCTGCTAAAACTTTTAGTATTATGTTAAATAGAAGTGTCAAAAATGTGTACCATATTTATTGATTTGTGGATGTTGAGCCATCCTTGCACCCCTGAAATAAATCCCACTTGATTTTGGTGTACAATCCTTTTTTTTTTAATCCTCACTCGAGGACATTTTTCTATTTTTTTGTTCAGATAGAGTGGGAGGAAGAGAGAGAGAAACATTGATGTGAAAGGGACACATTGAGTGGCTGCCACCTGCACGACCAACCAGGGCCGGGGACAAACTGCAACAGAGGTACATGCCCTTAGCGGGAACTGAACCTGGGTCTCTTGGACCACAGGCCGACTCTCTAACCGCTGAGCCAAACTGGCCAGGGCAGTGTACAATCCTTTTAATGTATTGTTGAAATTCAGTTTGCTAATATTTTAAGAAATTTGCATCCATTTTAATCAGGGACATTGGCCTAAAAATTTTTTTTTCTTCTGTATTGATTTTAAAGAGAAAGAGAGAGGGAGAGAGAGATAGAAACATTGATGAAAGAGAACATCCACTGGCTGCCTCCTGCATGCCCCTGCACCCCCCTGGGTATCAGGCCCACAACCTGGACATGTGTCCTGACTGGGAATCAAACCAGTGACCTCTTGATGCTTGGGTCAATGCTCAATCAGTGAGCCACACCAGTGGGGTGGCCTGTAATTTTTTTGCTTGTGGTAGCAGAGTAATACTAGCCTCAAACATCAGTTT